CCCCAAAACCCCAAAACCCCAAAACCCCAAAACCCCAAAACCCCAGCACTAAAAGTTAAACTTGATAATATCAAAGATGGGGTTATATATTTTTAATTAGCTCAGAATTCTCTTTAAGCATAAAATTGTTCAACATAGCTGCAAGTGGGTTAGTTCATTATTGAGAAATCCTTCTCAATTTTTTCACTCATATCCTCCATCGCGCTGAGTTCTAACATGTATTTCCTGAGATACACAAGGAAAACATCCAGTTTCTCACCTTTGAAAGGATGGATAGGGACTCAGTTTGACATGTTAGCTGAGGCTACTTCTGGGCTAGAGTCTATTAAAACCATGTTCTTCTGTGATCTCCCTTCTGTAAAGAACCTACTCAGTCATTTTGGCTTCCCTTGCACTCAATGTGAGATTGAGATGGTAAAGTACTCATTCTCTGATTGAAGGATATCAAGAAGAAATATTAGTAGCTTCTTCTCGAGTTTGGAGTAGACCACGAGCTCATATTCCCTCATTAGAGCCTTTAGGAACCCGAAAACGAAAGGGCGTAGGTAGATGTAGAAAGGCTCTCTTCCAAGATGTGAGGCAAACTCTTTGTCTATATAGCTGTAGAAGGGCATATCTTCGATTTCTATATAATTTAGTGATGAGCAACTTCATCTTGAAAAACTTTGGGATAAGGATTATCAGTATCACAGCACTGACAACCTCCTGGTTGAATGACTTACTCTCTTCAGAAATTAGCATGATGGTTTTGTCAATCTCGATCAGAGCAATCTCTATAGAATTACTAAATCTGAAAATACTTTTCTCAGGGTCATGCTCCCCGATGCAGACCTTATTTAGGTTTCGTAGCTCTCATACTGGGTGATCAGCTTGTTTTCTGAAATTCCTCTTTGAAATTATGGTAATCTTTATGGTTAAAGAATTCATAGAGATATCTATCCGCATGATCAAAATCAGCTTTTGCATTAGATGCAAGCCAATATGCTATATTTAGAGTAAGATATCAAGAATTAGACAAAAGGGCAAAGTAGGTTTAGATCATTTGCTCTTCCTAAGCTCTCGTAAGGGCAAATTTGAATAAAATGCTGACCAGGAATTTCAGTCAACTTGGAATTTAGCCTCGTATCTTATTGAACTTTACCTTCGTTCTTTTCACTGAAGCCAGGTGCTGGCTCCTTAAAGATAGGAGTGGCTCCACTATCTATTAAGAGAGATTGAGCAGCCAGGAAAGGGTTGCTTTCCTCACTTTTACACTCCTCAATGTTGTCTAAGGGGATCCTCTTCACGATGTCTGAGGGTAAGAAGTTGAACACCTTTATTCTCTGAGAATTAGGCCTAGCTGTGAAGACCTGGAATGCACATTCCGAGTTCTCGTTCATCTATAATTTTATGGTTCAGCAGTGGAGTATGAGTTAATAAATTATGTAGCAAGCTAGCCAGTGCTTTCAGATATAGCCGAAAATAATTTTCAATGCAGACAAAGTGCAAAAACTTACATTATTCGGGATAGAAGACCTATTGATACCAGGCTGAAGCACATGCTCATCAGATATGTGGATGGCATGGGGGAGATCCCCCACCTCAGCGATCTCCTGGAGATACTTCTCATAGGTATCCTCTTTCTCTTTTTCAGACTCAAGGTTCTCTTTTTCTTTGATTGGAGTGAGGCTTCTATAAGATTTAGGCGAATTCTGAGCAAAGTTAAGATATTGTAAGAAAGACATACCCTAAATTATCCAGTACTTTATTTGACTGGATAAAGTTCATTGGTATTTTTGTAACTATCTGCTTCTTTGAGGCTCTAAAACCCATCAGAGTTAAGGCTTACTCAGAGTTGTTGACTGATAAATTGATCTTCAAGTTGGCTGAAATAATGATTAGCTTCATATTTTCTGAAGGATATTGGCAAATTTAGTAGTTCCTAGAGGAGAAAACCTACCTTTTTCTTTAAAAATTCTGAATTTACTCTTATTATTTTGAGCTCTCGAACATTTGAGAGTCAGATCTTAAGGCTCCTTCGCTTTTGATAGGAGATTGAGGTTCCTTCTCACGCATTGACTTGCATTTCATCTGAGCAATGAAAGCATTCTTCTCAGCATCTAGAGGTAAGAGTTGTGACGTACTGAGGGAGTCTCTCTGAACAGTCAGGTTGTTTGAGCTAGCTCTAACCGATCCCTTTCGTTTTAGAAAATCAAACTATAAAATGTATGAGGATTAGGTAACTTACGCTGTTTACTTTAAAATGCTTTACACTGTTTCTTTTGCTAATGTCTGTACCTAGAGTCAAGTTATGAAATTATTCAAAAGCTATAGTCTTAAATAGAATGGAAGGGGTCGATTCTTATAATGTATAGACATAGACACTTGAGTTGCCATATACCTTCTTAGATCTCCTCCTGATTTTACCAAAACATTTCAGCCCAACATTAAGTGAATATATACATACGAAGGAGTTATGTCAAGGAGAGAATACAAAAATATTTTAGGTGAAGACTTTCACCATCTGAATATTATTTAGCCGAATTTTGAGTCAAGTTAGTCTATGATTCATCATTATCGGATGCACTCGAGGAATCATGATTAGGAAAATCTGGGGCTATTACTTGGTAAACCTCAGCACCATGTTATGGTTGATATTTTAGAGCGCAACATTATACTAGAGTGGGTTAAGCTAAGGAAGATATAATCTGACCATCAGAGCTTTAATAGTAAATACGTATAGTGCACATCCCTCAGAAATTTGCATTATTAGGTGACTAACAGGCGTTTGCTTAATATAGCCCAAAATGAATTTAGAATATTTTCTTGTTGACATAATGGTCGTATTTAAAGGATTAGTAGCAGAAACCATGACTCTTCGCACAAAGAGAACACTTGCCCATGGCTAGGCATTTGATAGTCACAAATAATTAGAATGATAAGCAAGTTTTAGGTCTAAAGAAGTTCATTAAAATTATAAATATCCTGAAAAGATCAGAAAGGGTCCCGCAAGCACCTAAAGCTATATATCTGTTTTACTTTCTTGGGTCCCAGAAGGCCTTTCTATCTGAAATATTGAGTTAGAAGAGCAAGTTAATTTTTCTCCGTGTTGTACATTTTTACCAACTTTAAGATATCAGAGTTGTACATACCTCATAGGTGCTACTATAAGTGGGAAGTTCAGAAATTATTCGAATTATTACATGCATGGCACCTCATTAACCTCCTACATATCTGGGTAATTATGGGCATGAAAAGTAACCTCTGAGGGCTTATTGGATATTCTTACAATGGATGTTAATATCAGAAAATGTAGCAGCGAAAAAATATTACAGAGCTAATATTTTAAACTTTAGTATATATTTGGGCCGGCTTTACAGAAAAGTGGGTGTACCCAAAGCACTGGATGTAACCCAGGGACTTACCTTTGATAGGATCTAAGTCTCCATCATCGATGTAATCTCATGAGTCCCAACTTTCTCATGGTAAATCTTTGCTCTTACTTTCCATGGCTCTTGGCTTCTATATACACGGAGATGTTTACAAGATATTTGGAAAGGAATTTTAGGGTGTTGTTAGCAGAAAATTCACAGATTTAGGCATTTACAGAATAGTCTAAACATGTTCCTCGCAAGAAGAGATTTATTGCAGGAATAATTAGTGATTAGTCATGGCTTATTGCTCAACAGAATTCTTGAAGTTGCTTATACTGGTCTAAACTCTGGTGAAATATTTAAGGGGTGAGGCAAGTTGGTACTTTAGTTAACCAATTACAGCCCAATCGGCTGCTCACTCATGAAGTTTAGATGCTTAAGGCTTACCTTTGAATCGAAATATTTAATATAACCTATAATTAAAATATTTACCTGAGTTGGGGTTTTGGGGTTTTGGGGTTTTGGGGTTTTGGGG